AGTGATGCCCTTTGCTCGCAGACGCCCAGGAGCCTGGGAGAGAGGTTGAGCAGGGGGAAGGCATCCTTGGAGAGGGAGGTAATATTAGCTGGATCTTGAAGGATGAATAGTTATCACCCTGTGAAAAGGCCTCCCAGACAGCAGGGAGAGCATCGGCAAAGACACAGATGCACAGAAATGTCTGGTCCATTCCCAAGAGGGGGGCGGCCTGATCCGGCTCAAGGAGCGTGTAAGTCAGGGACGGGGCGGGCGAGGGCAGAGGGACCTGTTGGTGGCCCCACTGCCCTGTTAGAAAGTGCTTTTTTCTGGTGCCTGAAATACCGGTCAACTTCGGATCCCTGTGCGAAAGTTATGGAAGCTTCTGGTGTGCACATCACTTCCCAGGCCCTGTTCTGGGGCTGGCTCTGCCAAGGCTCAGCACAGACGTCGGGACCTCTCGGAAAGGCCTGGCGCCAGCAAGGCCCACACCGTCTCCACCGCTGACTCCCCCGCCCCCCGCCCACCTGCGCTGTCAGCCCAGGCTCATGCTCCCTGCTAAAAGCTCGCACTGTCTCCCCTGAGCCTTGGGAGAAAAGACAGCCTGACTCCCATGGCCTGCTCCCCCAGCACCCCCGAGGCCTTCAACACCCAGGCCCGTGTGCCTGCCATCTGGTTACCCAGCCGACTCCTACTTCCCCTTCACCATACAACACCATTCCTTCAGACAACCTTCCAGGAGCCCCCAGATCTTGGTCAGGGACACCTCCAGGTTGTGAGCTCCTTCAGGACAGGGTCATGGCCGGTTCATGCCAGGTCTGCAGTTAAGGGCCAAGTCTCATTGTTGGGAAAAGCTTGGTACCTCCCTTGCCCCCAATCCCAGTGGACAAGTCAGACCAGGTGACAAAATTCTAGTATGAGCTCAGATCCCAGAGGGCCCTGGGCGTGAAAGCTTTCTCCTACACCTGGGAAAGTCAGGATGTTCTAGCAGGTTAAATTGTCATTTTTGAGAGACTGCTGCCAAATCCCACCTTGCAGGCCTGGAAGGGCCTTTGAAAACCATGAGGTGACATCGTGAGGCATAGAGAAAAGGCCTGAGTTCAAATTTCTTCTCCTGTGTGATCTTGGACAACTGACTTAACCTCTCTGAGTCTTGGTTTCCTTCTCTCTGTACTGGGATCATTGATATCTACTCCTTGCTGACTCGTTAACTGTTTTACGAGCTATTACGTGTCTGGCACATGGTTATTAATCTTCATTTGGACAGTTTATGGGCCTCATCCAAGGTCACCTGTGGGCACAGAGGCGGGACTTACAGAAGCTCCAAATCCTGGTAGGTGACAGGATGACAGAAGCCAGTCAGCCAGGCCTTCCGTCAAGAACCTCCAGCGGCACGTGGTCTTGTTAGAGTCCACACTTATGGGCCTCCCTCTGGAGGGTCTGATTTGCTATTCCAGGGTAGGGTCAAGGAATCTGTGTTTTTAACAATTCCTGTCTTCATTGTCACGCAGCTCTGCTGTGCGGCCAGGCTGGGGCTGCAGCTTGGTCCTCCCTTACCCCGTTGCATGCCAGGTGGGTGCTGATCTCGGGAGTTTAACACCTTGCAAGTTCCCACTTGGCATCAGCCATTAGCAAGTTTTTGCCAGGTCACCTGGGTCTCTCAGCCTGCTGGGTTCCCTGTGATGTGCTGAGGTTTTCAGACCTCTAGGACTGACACGGTGTACTTTCCTGAAGCATCGATATAACTTGATAAGCAATTTTGAATGCTATTTTTTGAAATGTTGTTTTTGTATTAGAAAGAACATGGGATATTATGGATTTGACTGCAAAATTCACCTAGATATGCAAAATACATTATGAGACATCCAATTTTTTATATACCCCAAAACTTTGGAGGAACTTGGGTACGAGTCGTTTTCTGTAGTGTAAAGATAATTCCTGTAGAAAAGTTCCAGAAGCTCTTCTCAGGGCACTTCATCTATCTGTGCTTCATGTTCATCTGACATTCCTCAGACCCTACCCAGGGGCTGGCCCTGGACTATTGAGATGACTGGAGGAGACGGTCTGGGTGGAGGGGGTTGGCAGGGGTGGCTCAGGGCCGGGGGAGAGGAATGAGTGAGCACATAAACAACTCCGACACAGCAGGTGCCAGAAGGCAGGAGGCCGGAGATATGGAAGATTCTTGGACTCAGCACTGTCTGGACCACAAGATGGCTTTGCTAAAGTGACAAGTGTGGGAGCTTGATCATGGAGGATGTGGAAAGAGCCAGGGGCCTCTGGCCTTGAGGCAATGGGTGGAGCTCTGGGGCCCACCCCTCCCTGCCCTAGCCTACTCTGTGACCTGGGAGGACAAGGGCAAGAAGGGGCTGCACTGGACAACTGGTCCACACAGCCTGGGGACCTCTGAGTCCCCTGGGGGTTCTCAAAGGCAGGAATGGAGTTCATGAACTGGTGTCAATATTCCTCAAAGCTGGCTGCCAGACATTGTGTCTGTCCTCGAGGAGGCCGACCGGCTCATGGAAATGTCAAGTGCCTGTCTTTGCTCTGGGCTGACATCAGCTCCGCGTGGGAACAAAGCGCGTGCTCACGCCGGACCCGCCGGGGACGGCAGTGATCTGTCCCCTTGTGTGGTTTCACAACAGGGCGCCCAGAAGGAAGAATCGTGAAAGATGCCCTTGTTGGAAGAAATGTTTGGGGGCCCATCTGATAGCCTCCCTCTGGGCTTTGGCTGAGAAGAGGCAAAAGGCGTGACCGCTCAACGTCTGGGTTCCCCGAGGAAGCTGGGTTCCCATGAGAAGCTGCAAATAGCACCTGCTACATGGGAGGCCCCAGGTGGAACCTTCATTATGCATGACTTTATCCTGCGTGTGCGTGTGTGCATGTGTGTGTGCGTGCGATGGTGGTGAAGGGGCAGAAATCTCAGCTCATGCTCTTATAACGTGTCCCAGGCCACTTCCGCATCTGTAGGACAGGGCAATTCTTACTTCCATGGCAGCTCAGATGTGCCAGGCCATTGTGTCAGATCCTCATTTTACAGATGAAGAAACTGAGGCTCAGCATGGTCAGGTAACTTGCCCAAGGTCACTCACTCATTCATTCATTCAGCACACATGGGAAGGGCTGGTGCTGACTTGGGGGCTGGGACCCAGTGGGCTAAAGTAGAGTTAAGTCCCGTTCTCGCGGGGTTGGCATCACAGTGAGGGGGAAAGACACAAATAACTGAGCAAAAAATATTGAGTTTCTGTGAAGCAGATTAAACGGGGAGATGGGATGGACGTGGCTGGGGTGAGGCCAGGGCAGACGTCTCTCAGGAGGTGCTGAAGCCTGAGTAACAGGAAGGAGCCAACCGAGTAAACAGCAAGATCAGGTGCTTTTCCTATGTCAATGTCACAGAAGCCTGAGTGACGCCAGACAGGTCGGTCCATGTACTGGTGGTGAGGATGCCCTGCCAACAAGGGCAAGGGCTGGGCTGTGAGAATTGGAGGTCCCGACGAGGGCTGGAAACACCAGCACAAACCTAGGTGAAGATGGCCCCGCGGTGTCCACGGAACTCCCAGCCCTGCCAGATGTCCCCCTCTGCCCACCTGCCTCTGGCCCCTGGGCAAGCAGCAGCTCCCAAGGCCTGGCCCCAAATGGTCTGATCCAGGCCAGGGTCTGATCCAAGCCTGTGACTGAGTCCTGTCCTGTGGAGAACCGGAACTTGGTGTCTTCAAAGGGCAAGTGGACACAGGCAGCGGGTGGGCTTCTCTGGCTCTGCAGTCTCAGGGAGACCCGGCACTCTCCCCACTGAAGCCGCTGTGGGGAGGGGGTCAAAGGCTGGAGGGGCTCCAGCTGGCTCCTGTCAGTAGTCTGTCCGCCTTGCGCGTCAGAGAGGGGCGGCGACTGGCCCACGGCTGTCCGGCTTTGCCTGGCTCCCTTGTTCTTTCCCTTGTCCTGCCCCTGGCCAGTTTTCCAATCCTAAGACAGGCTCCTAAGCTCCCTCTGAGCCACATCTTCCTCCACCAAAGGGAACTGGGAGGCTGAAACGGTGTCCCTCCTGGCCCCAGGGGGCAGGCAAGTGGAAGTGAATGACACAGAGGCCAGGGGACAGGGGACACAGAGCCAGCAGTGCAGTATCCCGCCCCACATGCCTAGGGCAAAGCAGGTGCTGGGAGAGGCCCTGGGGCCTAGGGGCCCGATGGCCATTTGTGTGCGCCACAGTCACTCATCTAACTGGCCCGCCCACCACGGCCCCCTTGGGGTGCTGGGCTGACACCAAGACTCTCGAAGGGCCCAGGGCCAGCAGTGGTCATCAGGGGCCATCAGGACCTCCTGGGACGATGGCTGGGAAAGCCGAGGGGGACAGATCCTGAAGGGCAGTTCTGCTGGGTGGGGGTGGGGGTGGCAGCAGGGGAAGCCCCCTCAGAGCCCCTCGCAGCAGGAAGATGGAGCCCGCCGCCCGAACGCCGAGCGTGGCTTCGGCCCTAAGCCACGTGGTTTCACTTCGGTTTCAGTCGCAGCCGCTCTGAGAGTGAGCGCCGAGCCCCAGAGCAGGAAGAGGCCCCTGATGAGCTGGTCTTTACAGAACATCCCCCAGCCGAGCAAACCAGCACAGCGAGGGGACCCCGACTCCCGCTAACTGCTGAGAGGGCAGGGGCTGTCCCGGCGACCCGAAGCTCTGCGGGCCACACCGCCCCTCCCGCTCGGGGAGAGTGGGGGCCGCGGCACAGCTCTGCCATGGCCGGCGGGCCTGG